AAAAAGGACTATTAAATGTATTTTAAAATAGTAAAAAAAATAGAGACCACAACTAAATAATAATTACGAGACCTTTGTGGTCATACTCCAACATCTCTCTCCCCCGTCTTTATCTGTAAGTCCAAGGATGGCTCCCTCTCTCTCTCTCAATCCTAGTATGGCATTATCTTTCTCTCTCCCTCTCTCCCACTATCTCTCCCATCTCTCTCCCCTTGTAAATATAAGGATCTTTCTCTCAAAAAATAAGTTTATATAAGGTGTCCACCTTATATTATAGAAACGCATCAAAAACACATCGGAAAAGATTATTTCGTCACAAGAAAATCCTCCAATTGATCTAGACCACGATATATATAGATATGAAAAAAAATAAAAAATTTCAAATATTAAAAGTAGTGGAAAATTGTTTCATGTCGGCTGGACCGCATGACTACATACGCGGTCCAAAAAATGTAAATCATCCATCTTAAAGATAGATGCAAGTAGGTGTTTCATTTAAAAACAATGGAAACTAACAGCCCAAATGTTTTCTTATCCATGTTCGAGATTACATGTCCTTAAAAATTAACTAAAAAAATACATCTAAAAAATAAATTTATTAATAGGCCTATATTTCTACATATGCAGGCTTGACCGCATAGAAACCGGGTCCAAAAGCAGTACATCTTGTAAATATGGGTACAGTTTACGTAAGGATGGTGTAGACGTAAGGTGCACCTTTAAATTTTATCATGCTATATAATTTTAATGTAAAATATTATTAGGATTATCTCAAAATCTATTTTTATATCTAATTATAAATTTTTAATTTTAAAAATGGTTAAAATCAAGTAGATCAACATATTAAAATGCACTATTTTTAAGACTTAAAATCTTTTTATTTTTCATAGTCGTACATCTCGATGTCAAGATGATCAATCAAAGGGTTTTTCAACAGTAAAACTATCTTTTCCAATAGATTTTTGAGGGGCATCTATAGTTCTACATTATAAGGTTAGCATCCTTATATAAACTTTTTTCTATAAATGTTATCTAGATCATCAATTTGCAAGATTTTCGACTGTTTATAGATCTATATTATTTTTGAAGCTTTCAATTTCAGTTATAAGGGTGAAAAATAGATTTTTAGGTTATCATATAAGTTTATGCATCGAAAATGCATCTTTTAATGAGATTTTGGGATGCATTCTTAAGGTTGACACCTTGGACAAACCTCACCCCTCTCAATGATTAGAGTTATCATTTGTGTGGGATGTTCTTTTTATGCCAGCAGGGACAAAGGTCTGTTTGTCATTCCCCATTAATGTAAAGTGCTATGGCAATAAGAAGATTTAGTGCTTATGATAATGGATTCAGTGTTGATCCACTCCCACGTAGAGAGATAGAGGGAGAGGACCTCACGGCCACCATTGTTAACTATTTAGAGTGATATATGTACAGATCCGAAATAATTAACTAAACTACGAAATTATTCAATTATAGGTGGAAATTGCAATGGAGGTCGATCAATTCAGGTTTTTTATTTTTTTCAAAATTGCTTCACAGTTTGAGGATGATATCCTCATAACGTATTTTAAATTTTGTTTTTAAATTTTTCTCGTTAGTAGGGCGGTGTCCAAGCTTTATGAACAGTTCCAATGTGCTATGAGGTTAGAATCCAGACCCCTTTTGGATGGAGTAGTCCTTAGTTCTTGGGTGGTTCGAGGTCCCTATCCTCAGACTGTTCTTTGTTTCTTATTTTTTGAGAAAAACAATGGTTCGAGGATGGGTACCTAGGACCGCTCTCAGGATTGAGCAGAACTCAATTCTAGGGTTGTCCAAAGTCCCCATTCTTGGACCGTACTTTATTACTTATTTTTTGACAAAAACAAGCGGTCTGAGGATGGGGACCTATGACCGCTCTACTGGGATTTTGCTGTGTTCGTAAGGCGGTCCGAGGATTCTAACCTCCGACCACTTAGGCACTGCACCTAAAGCTTCTAACATTGCCCTACTAATGAAAAAAAATAAAAAAATAAAATGCGTTCCGATGATAAAATCGTTAGATTAAGAGGCAATTTTGAAAAAATAAAACAATACACTTGACTGAACTTACTTATAATTTCTATCAATAATCAGATCATTTCATATTTTATGTAATTATTTCGGATCCATACATAAATCACTCAACTATTTAAGCACATGGTTGGTTCGTGTGTTAAAGAGAGAGAGAGGGGTGGGTGAGTTTAGTATGACTAGTGAGAGAGAGAACCTCATAAGCCACAAGAACTTTGCAAAGCTAGGGAGGGGTTTGAATGTAACTATTTAAGTAGATGTGTGTGTTAGAGAGAGAGAGAGAGAGAGAGAGAGAGAGAGAGAGAGAGAGAAGCAAGGGACAAGTACAAAGTGGTGGTTAGAAAGAGTGAGGGTACACGAAGAAGAAACATGTGGTAAAATGTTGTTAGTGCTTGGAAGCTTTCTTTCACTCACTCACCAATAAAAAAGTAAAGTGAAGATGGATAAAAAACACCTTCATGCGCTTGCTTGCCTCCATTTAAACTTCTCCTCAGTCTCTTTCCTAATAATAATATCAAGTTCACCTCTTCCCTTTCTCTCTATATCTACCTATCTATTTAGCTACTGAGAACTGTATTTACAACTCTTTTTTTTTTTTAATTTGCAGTTTGTCTCTCACGATCGAGAGTTATAAAAAATGTAATGTAAGATTCTCCCTCCTACTCTCTCGCATTGGATGTGGTTTGCTTTAGAACTATTAATGAGTTTGGTCCAATTAAAATTGATGTAACCACTAATTTAATTAGTTAGAGTGAATTTTAGAAAAATAAAAATAAAAATAAATTTAAAAATTATTACAGATATTACAAATATTTGAAAAATAATTTTGTAGCCAGCTAGCTGGTTAAAACCAATATGTACTACTAGCAAAATTGGCTAAACAAGTTTTGATTGGTTTTCTAAGAAATCTAGTTTTTTTTTTCATATTAGATCAATGAAAGCACTAGTCAGCCATCCGATAAAGGGATCCACCCCAGTCAATTGTCTGATCAGTTCGGTCTAGTCTTGATAACTAAGCTCAGAATGCTCTCTCTCTCTCTCATATATATTTTAATAAGCTTGAAGAGATATTGCAAACTAATGAACCCGCACTATTGCCATTGTATATTGATGAAGTGATTAATGTAGTTTTTACCACAATGATCTCTTTATTTCTTAAATGGCTAATAAATGCCTCTATAATCTTATGTTTGTGCAATTAATCGTCCAAATATTGATAGGCATGTATGCTCTTGCTGGAGCATACTGTACATTTGCTCCCTCAGTCAAAAGACCTATTTGAGAGGATTTTTTTATTATGAAATTATGGGAACCACCTAAGAATGTAGATGATTATTTTCAAAAAAAAAATTTGAATTTTTAGTTTCTAGCACTTAAATCTCACCCTTCAAAAATTGGATATTCTTTATTCAATGATGTGACATTGATTTTTTTGCAAGAAGGCAAGTTTAATTAAGAAAGTTTTTGACTGAGGCTAGTCTATGGGTTACATCCCAAAAATTTGGTGCCTTAAAATTACTCTGATATTTACAGCCTACTCCGGCAGGTGCGTAAAATCTTTTGGCAATCGTGATAATTGTAACTCTATATGGAAAAGGAACTGAAATTTCAAAAACAACTTATCGAAGATAACCATTATCCTCCTCTCTCAATCAAAGTACTAGAGGACAAACATCTCCGTTTGATATTACACAATGAAACATCTCTCCATCTCTTCTCTCAATCATAGACAAATATCTTAAAATATCGAAATCATAAATATAAAAAATATCTTAAAATATCGAAATCATAGACTCAGCGATGCTAAAGGACAAGTATAGGATGCTAGCATTAAATATCTCGCTCACCCCACCTTTTTAAAAAGAATACAAGTTGGCCACCTCAAAAAAAGAATGGGGTTGAAGTCAAGGTGGTAGCACTACTTGTGACTCAACTATAAGTCTCGGTTTTCATGTTCACCAATACGAACCCCGGTTTTCATTCTCACCAATGCTAACCCTTTCGAAAACTACTGACAATTTCAAAAATTGCTAATTCACTACTAACCGTTAATGTTCCTAGAAAGAAAAAAAAGAAAAAAAACTAACATTGAAAATTTGCTAATACACTACTAACTGTTAATGTTCCAAAAAAAATAAACAAAAATAAAATAATAACATTGAAAATGAGGTTACTTGAACTTTGAATTGAGGGTATAACATGTGGCATGCCACTCCGGAATTTGGGTTTGCATTGGTTGTAATGTCCATGTCAAAATGGAAAATTGTTTCTTGTGGCCGGGATAACATTTCTACATTTACGGTCCTCGAGGTATAAAGCATCCATTGTAAAGATGGAGGCAAACAGGTGATTCATCTAAAAACAATTGAGTCCAAATGTTTTCTTAATAAAAATATTAATTTTAATTTTAAAATTTATTTATATTCATGATTTGTCATTTTTACATCAAAAAATCCATCTAAAAAATAAATTTTTAAGAGGTGACTCACTTCTACAAAGACTGGTAGAAACCATGTCCATAGAAAAAAGGAAGTAAAATTTGACTCACTTCTACAAAGACTGGTAGAAACCATGTCCAGTGTCAGAGCACTGGTCTCTAGCTGAACACCGAGGATGTGTTATTATTGAAATGTTAACGGCAGAAATGAAGCCTAAGACGTTATGTTGTCAAAGTAAGGATGTTATGTCACATAAATTTGATTTTTTAAAATTACGCCCACATAGGGTCCTACCCAAGGGAGTAAATGCACAACATGCTCCTCCGGGAGCGTATATCTTTTGCTCCAAAAATGATAAGAGAGTTTCGTATTGCATACTACTAAGAAACTTGATTTGAATTTGCTTCCACAAAAAATGTTTACATATATAAATTATATAAATTTAGCAAATGTTGACAATCACACATATGAATTCAGCAAAGGTGGGCTCACATTTGTCTTTAAAGTAGTTACGATCATTACATGCATTTGGGCATTTGTAAGAAGTTTCAAAGGGGTTTCAATTTTCCTGATTTTTGGGATATATACACTCCCAATAACTTCTTCTAATTTTATTCTCTCTCTCTAATTGTCTCTCACATCCTCTCTCTCTCTCTCTCTCTCTCATTTCTCAGCCCTTATAAAAAACACACTATTTGTGGCACCCATCTCTCTCTCTCAATTCACATTTAGTCATTTATCTTTTAGATTGGAGGAAATTTATTGCCGGAAAATATCATGGGTGAAGTTCCGGCAACTCGACACTTTGTTCTAGTTCATGGGATTTGTCATGGTGCTTGGTGTTGGTACAAAATCGCTTCTCTTTTGAAGAATTCGGGCGTCAAAGTCACTGCGGTCGACCTGGGTGGTGCTGGAATAAATCCCGGAAATGCAGACTCTATTCTTTCATTCGAAGAGTACAATAAGCCCCTGATCGATCTCATCCCGACGATCCCTGAGGATGAAAAGGTGTGTGTATGTTTGAGATAGAGAGAGAGAAAGAGAAAGAGAAAGAGAGAGAGACTGTTAAGCCTGTGGGCATGTGTGTGAGAAAAAGGATGGTTTCTTTTATTTTATGAGAGAGAAAGATGGGTTCGACGAGAGAGAGAGACAGGATGGGATCAGTTATTTGATAAGAGAGAGGATGAGTTGAATTTCTCATCAAAGTAATCCGTTTCCTTGATTTTCACGTTGGCCCAAAGCCTCCTTCTGGCTCAGTTCATCCAAAACTTCATTTTTCTATCTAAATGTGAATTGAATTCCTCTGTTTTCCTCCTTTTAGTGATCACTTTAATCTCTCTCGAGTTTAGAGAGAGAATAGACTCTTTCTCTCTCGTTAGAGTTTAGAGTGATGAAATTGATCTACTTTTGATTTTATTTATTTATTTTGAAGATAATATTGGTTGGGCATAGTGCTGGTGGGTTGAGCTTAACGCATGCCACTCATGTTTTTGGGAAGAGGAAAATAAGCGTTTGTATATACATCACTGCTGCCATGTTGAGAAACGGCTTCATGACTGATGAAGATGTCCAAGTAAACTTTCTCTCTCTCTCTCTCTTTTCTTTTTACATTCAATTTTCCCTCTTAATTAATTAATAGTAATAATAATAATAATAATAATAATGATGATAGTAATAGCAATAGTAATAGCGATAGCAATAGTAATATTAATAGGGTGGGTGCAGTCAGCATACGTATGCATCCGTAGTTGTAGAGATAAGGTGCACTTTCAACTTTTATCATGGTATATAATTTTGATGTAAAATGTTCTTAGGATTATCTTAAAATTTCAAAAAAGGTTAAAATCAAGTAGATCTATAAATATATGAAAATCTGATAGCTTAGGTGTATCACAAATTTTTTTAAGAAATTCTTTTAAAGTTTGATATTGGTCATTGAAATAAATACAGCCATCTAATGTCACATCCAAAAGTAAAAGATGAATTGTTACCGCTTTATACCAAACGTAAATGGTCTTATTATATACTTTTCAATAGTTAGTAATAATAATAACAATAACAATTATTACTATTATTATTTATCATAATACAACTAAACTATTTAACATTTTACTTTGTATGTATTTTGATAAATTTCAAAACTTACTTGGTGTATTAATTGATGGGCTATTTGAAACTTGATCAAAATAGCAGCCTAACAATTGGATGCAGATCGTCCCCCCTCCAAGATTCATTCTAGTATAGATTTTGAATCCAAATATTTAGGGATCCATAAACCAAAACATGAGGATTACGAATATATAAAAATAATGAAAATTAAAAATTTAGAAATGATAATATTTTGAAATTCTTTTCCACTGTCTATTTGAAAATTTTAATTGGGCCTTCTTTATATAGCCTCCTATCTAAAAGATGGTTGTTTGATGGTCGAGGGGACTCATGCCGCCCCGGAGGCATCAAACACTATTTTTTTTGAATTTAGGTAAAACGGTATGGATGAGATGTTAAATAGTTCAAATGATACGTGTAATTTGATAAATTTCTCTTGTCATTATGAAGATTTATCAAAATCACTTAGGAGAAAAACTTTCTAACATATTGCCTATTTTTTATTTAATTTTAAAATCCCAGCAAAATAATTATGATCATATGATTGTTGCAATAGTTTATTAAATCATTGATAAATTGTTTCGCACGTCCACAATTTAATTTATTAATGCTTTTTGCCAAAAGCATGCCACTGATTTTGGGGTGAGAGCCAAGAAAGCAGCCCTATTTTGGGTGAGTATACACTGTGCTTATGTGGGAGAACACTGTATGCTTATTCCCTTGGGCAAATTAGCTACTTGGGAGGATTTTTTTATCAGAATTTTAGGATCAATCTCGAATACTGAATTGGTTATTTGAAAAAAAAGAAAAAGAAAAAAGGATTTTGAATTTTTTGATTATTCCAAAAATCAGAGTTCAATTTTAGGATGGTAATTTTTTGAGGCAAAGACATTATATGAGTGAAAATATTCTTTTTTTCAGGTTGCACATCCCAAAAATATGGGGTACTAAGGATATTCTTAAGGTGGGTTTAAACCAGTGTTTTAAACAACGGTGAGCCCGGTTCGACTCGAAAACACGTGTGCCCGTGCCGATTTCAACCGAAAATTGGGAACTGCCCGGTTCTAGAGTGGAACCGCCGGTTCCCATCCGGTTCAGCCCGGTTCTAGAGTGGAACCGTCAGTTCCCATACGGTTCAGCCCGGTTCTAGAGTGGAACCATGACACGCACATGCGAGCGTCCCATGCACACTCGCACGCGCACATGTGTGTCCGAGCGCACGTGCCCCATGCACACTCGCATGCGCACATGTGTGTCCGAGCGTATGTGCCCCATGCACACTCGCACGCGAACACGTGTGTCCGAGCGCACGTGCGAGCTTGCCCCACGCACACTCACACGTGCACACGTGTGTCCGAGCGTGCCCCACTCACACTCACACTCACACGTGTGTCCGAGCGCACGTGCGAGCGTGCCCACGCACACTCGCACGTGCACACGTGTGTCTGAGCGCACGTGCGAGCGTGCCC